CTCCTCTAAATATTTATTTTATATGAAGTGGTTTGCTTACCTTGAATGTGGGAGGACTCTAAAAATTCACAGAGAGAGCATGTGATGATGTGTATTGAGGACAGGATACCAGAATCTAATACAGAGAAGGAAAAACATTTTCCCTTGATAGAACACTTTTTCTTTCCTATATTGCTCAAAATTTGTTCATATCACATCTTTGGGTTTTTACCACACAGTTCATAATGAAGTTTATGAACCTTGAGATTCGTTGATGAAAAAGGCCTGGCTCTAGTTAGGCTGTGCCACAGACTTTGTGTGTCCTAGCTAACAGCTGTCAACAAGTGATTTGTAGCTGTAACTGTCATTGTTGGTTGCCTGAGCTGCACTATCTCCTGTTTGAAAATTTCTTGGCTAAAATCTGTTAAATAGAACTGATGGCCTTAGATGACAACAGTTTCTCTACATTAGAGGCTTCATGTTCACCATATGTATCTCACAGAAGTGAGCATAATTCTTAGATTTTTCTGACCTATAACACTGGTCTACAATTTTTTAGAAGACGTCTGCTTCAGAGATAAAATGTGCTATTTATTATGTATTTTGATGTGCTGAATTCAAATATGACAATTAAAACAACTGATTGGCTATTGTTTCCAAAATATTTAAGTTTTTACATTTTACGTCTATGTATATTGTGTAGATAATAGAGTTTTAATCATAAATTGTAAACCTAGGTCTTTCCGTGTGTTTATGGTTGCTTTACATGATAATATTTCACCTGTCCTGTTTATGTAACACTTTAAAAATCAGCAAAAGGGTTATATAAATAAAATTTATTATGAAACAAAAAGCAAAAAACTATTATGTACATAGTTTAGTCCTATTCAGTGTCTACTCGGCGCTTCTTGGCTTGTCTCTTGTATTCATTAAATGGAGCATCTCTTGTCACTGTCCAGCAATAGTCTGCAAGCATTGATGGGCTCCATTTGCCCTCATAGCATTTCTCCATTGTTGCAATGTCCTCCATGCTCGTCGCTCACTGCTCCACAGTTTGGTGGAAAAAAATCTAGATGAGAGTGCAAAAAATGTATCTTTGGTGACATGTTGCAACCAAGGCTTTTGTATGCCTTGAGGAGGTTTTCCACCAACAACCTGTAGTTGTCTGCCTTGTTGTTTCTGAGAAAATTTATTGCCACTAACTGGAAGGCTTTCCATGCCGTCTTTTCCTTGCCACGCAGTGCATGGTCAAATGCATCATCTCGAAGTTCACGAATCTGAGGACCAACAAAGACACCTTCCTTTATCTTAGCTTCACTTAACCTTGGAAATTTTCCACAGAGGTACTTGAAAGCTGCTTATGTTTTGTCCATGGCCTTAACAAAGTTCTTCATCAGACCCAGCTTGATGTGTAAGGGTAGTAACAAAATCTTCCTTGATTTAACAAGTGGTGGATGCTGAACACTTTTCCTCCCAGGCTCCAATGACTGTCGGAGTGGCCAATCTATCTTGATGTAGTGGGAATCTCTTGCACGACTATCCCATTCGCAGAGAAAACAGCAGTACTTTGTGTATCCAGTCTGCAGACCAAGCAAGAGAGCAACAACCTTCAAATCGCCACAAAGCTGCCACTGATGTTGGTCATAGTTTATGCACCTCAAAAGTTGTTTCATGTTGTCATAGGTTTCCTTCATATGGACTGCATGACCAACTGGAATTGATATGCAGCAAAACATCCATGACTTCTAGGAATAACATGATGCAATTCATATCAAGTATGACGCAATACCAGCTTCAGATTGCATCATTCATTGTTTTGCCTAAAAAGCAAGTACTGTCCAAACCCAGTCATAGATTTATTCATAGATCTAGTCAAAGATGTATTTTAGTCATTTCTGGTTTAAATTGAGATCCCTTCCCTTTATAACTCACTTATCCTCCGCCGTTCGCAAGTCAAGGGTCGTATATACTGACTCAATAGCATATCTTGAAAACTAGAGCCAATCAACAATTTTAAGCATCATTTTCATTCTCAGTGACCCAGAATTAGTAAAGTTTGACTACATTCATTTCAGAAGCATTTTGGCTGTAGAGCAGTGTAATAGAAATAGAAAATGTCATGTTTTGCCAATTATCTTCAGTCCCATTATGATCAAGTATACTAGGTTTTAATAGCGTATAGTAATTGATGAATTGGTACTTGCTTAAAAGAGAGGAAACAAAGTATAGGAATAAATTATCAGTTTTCAGAATGGAGAGAGGAAACTAGTGATGTTCCCCAGGGCATCCATATTGGGACAAATCCTATTCAACATATTCAAAAATGATTTGAACAAAGGGATCAAACAGTGAGGTGGCAAAATTCACAGATGATACAGACTTGCTCAAGATAGTTAAGTCCACAACAGAGTACAAAGAACTTCAAAAAGATCTTATAAAACTAGGCAACAAAATAGCAGATGAAATTCAGTGTTGATAAATACAAAGTAGTGAATATTAGAAAACAATCTCAAGTATACATATAAAATGATGGGGTCTAAATTAAATTAACACTCAAGAGAGAGATCTTGGAATCACTATGAAAAGCTCTCTGAAAACATCCACTCAGTGTGTAACAGCCCTCAAAAACCCAAACAAAATGGTAGAACTCGTTAAAAAAGGGATGGAGAATAATCTATTACCTCTGTATAAATCCATGGTATGCCCACATCATGAATAATGCTTGCAGATGAGGTCACCTCATCTCACAGTTACCTTGGCATTGGAAAAAGTTCAGAAAAAGGCAACAAAAACATTTAGGGCAATGGAATAGCTTGCATACGAGGAGAGATTAGTAAGACTAGGATTTTTCAGCTTGGAAAAGAGACAACTAACAGAGTCTATAAAATTATGACTGATGTGGGGAAAAAATTATTTACTGCTTCCCATAGCACAACAACAAGGGGTCATCAAATATAATTAATAGGTAGTAGGTTTTAAGCAAACAAAAAGAAGTAATTCACACAACACACAGTCAACCTGTGAAACCTCTAGCCAGAGGATGTTATGAAATCTAAGACTATAACAGGGTTCAAAAAAGAGCTAGATAAATACGTGGAGGATAGGTGCATCAATGGCTTTTAGCCAGGATGGGCAGGAATGGTGTCCTTAGCCTCTGCTTGGCAGAAGCTGGGAATGGGTGACAGGTAATGGATCACTTGATTACCTGTTCTGTTCATTCCCTTGGGGGCACCTGGCATTAATACCGATTTAGATGGACCCTTAGTCTGACCCAATATGTCTGTTTTGCATGACTCTATCCATATATCAAATACTTAGCTATTTAAAATGATAGCAGTTGTTCCTGTGAGATAAAGGACAGGTGGAAGCAGCTAGGTGCTCAGTACAGATGAAAATCAGGTTGTTGGCACTCATGTTTTTAAATTGTTGTTCAGGTCTTAAAATTCTGTTCCTTTATGTGCATCCCACTCCTCTCCTGACAGGAGGAGTAAATTCCCTTAGTACTACAGACAGTAGATATAAAGTCAAATTTATATCCAGGTGGATTATGTATACAGTTCTCAAAATCAAATGTGTATGGTTTAAAAAATCCTTCTACTAAATAAAAATGCCCTTGAGGGGTCATTCAGAGATGTGAGAAACTGAAACAATAGAAGTGCTAGGTTTCACTTTATCTTCAGTTTAGTGCGGAGTGATACTCCCCAGCCAGCCAATCCAGCGTAATCCTAAAAGTATCTCTATCAGCTTTTCTTGGAACATAGAGTTAGCATTGCTATGATTTCCAGCACTCTTGCTTCCAAAATCCTTTAGATCAGTGGTTCTCAAACTTTTCAGCATCATGCCCCCTCTTTCATTTTTTTTGAGAAACCTTCACCCCCCCCCAAAAAAATAGCAGCAAAACTTGTTAAACCCCCAAAAAAGGTTTCCCTTTTAAGAGAAGAGCAGGCATTGCCCTTTTAAGATGGCCATTTTGAAGTCTGCCCGGGACACTCCATCCTTCCTGCGCCCCAGGCAGCCCGAGCTGCCTGTGTTCCAGCGGATGCCCGAGCCAGGAAAAACAGAAAATACTGGACATTTCACAGGTTATTTTCTGAATTTTTTTACCGGACGGACCAGGCTTTTTCTTGGGGGGCAATTGCTGGAGGGGGGTCTGGGTCACCTCATGCCTCCCCTGGAATTTCTTCACCTACCCCCAGGGGGGCGTGCCCCCCCAGTGTGGGAACCTATGCTTTAGATGTTTCATTCAACCCCGTTAAAAGTTAGGAATGTATCTCAATATTATCCATCATTGAGTAAAAACTGAAGCACACTTGAAAGAACAGTGATCAGGGCCCAGTTCTAACAAAGACTGCTTCTTGGCACCCAACATGTGCTTTTACCTGAAAGTTGTATCTGAAGTGAGAGCATGCAGTCATTCTAAACAAACCCACACCTTGTATTATTCGGTATCCACGTTCTGGGTCCTACTCAATGTTACCCTGCAGTCCCTCTGGGCCAGCTAAGGTAGAAGCGAGGATAGGATTGGAATGAGAGACACCAATGCAGGAAACTTCCCCGGGCACAGAGGATATGCTTGGGATACAGAGGCAGGGGGCTGGGGGAGACCTGGGTTCTGATAATTCTGTGCTTGTGAGGAGACTCAGAGTTTGTTACAGGAGGAGAGCAACCTGATGGAGGCCTCATGGGCATAACTAAATTGGAACTGAGTAGAGCCAGAACCCTGAGTTTTGTGGGGTAAGAGAGAAGCAGCTGTTAGGCAGAGGATTACACACTCTGGGTGAATTAAATTTTTTAAATGGGGTAAATAATGTACACCTATGCAGCTAATGTTATTGTAGGTATCCAGTCTACATTATTGCAGGCGCTCTTCTGTTAATCTGAAACCATGATCTTGGAGTAATACTCAGCACCAATTGTGAAACATTTCTTTTCAGATGCTGAATAATTGCCTATAAATCTTGGGATCTCTCAGAATAATTTATCGTGTAATTGTGCTACACGATATAACCATACAAGAGGACAAAATAATATAAGGTGTGCAAGCATTTTTAATAAAACATGAACTGCAAATTCACATTATTTTATTTACACTCACATCTCTGAATATATAACATTTTATTACAATGTATTCTGTTCACATTAAGATTAGAAGAAAAATAATGTTTTTTATGCTAAATATACCAACAAAATAGCTCCACTTTCACAAAGTAGGATTAAAAAACTTTCCGTGTTTCATTTTCAACCCTAACAGCGAAGTTAAGGTTGAAAATGGATCTCACTCTGAATACAGATTGCACTTCTGCACCAAAATAAATCACACCATATAACAAAATACAGGACTATGTAGCACTTTAAAGACTAACAAGATGGTTTATTAGATGATGAGCTTATAAACCATCATCTAATAAACCATCTTGTTAGTCTTTAAAGTTCTACATAGTCCTGTATTTTGTTTTAGCTACACCAGACTAACACGGCTACATTTCTATCACTACCATATAACAAGTTTGTATATTAATCCTGGCTATGTGTGGTTTATTTATAAAACCAAAACTTTTCATTGTATTTTAGAGAGATAATTAAATAAAAATTAAAAAAAGAGACTCAATATTAGTGGGGGGACGACTCAATATTAGTATCAGGAGAGTCAGAGATCAGCCAACCTGTGACAAACACCTGAAAGGTAAAACAAATCAACTCCAATGCACCTAGAGGTAATGAAACCTTCATGTGCATAGTTGACAGCTAATGAGCCTGACAAAGGGTTATCAAACCCTCAGCTGAGGAGGTTTCCACAGACCAGAGGTTCACCAGAACAAGAAGTTTAGAAGGGGGTTCCTAAAAACAGGAAGCTTCTGAGGAGAGCTTACCATTGCCAGGAGTCTAGGTGTACTCAGACACAGGGAATATTGTCAAACTACCTGTTGCTACAGAGAAGTGCTGCAGCTGACAGATCTTACTCTGGGCAAAGGATGCTTTGCAGATAGTGGCAAGAAGCCTGAATGAAGAGAACTGCTGGAGAAGACTGGCGGGATGGATTGGCAGGATGGATAAATTACAACTATCTCTTAGGGATGTTAAAATGCGGTAAAGTAAACATGTAACTAACTGCTGAAAATTTCAACCGTTACACGCACAGAGTAGGAGGGGAAGCAGTATGTAATTGAGGGTGGACTCATCAGTTAAAGTGTATCTGTGTACATGGTTAACATCCCTACTATCATCCAGGTAATACAGTGGGGTGAAGGTTTGAATGCTTTTTCATTGGCCATCTGGTTGATAAACTAGACCCCTCAGAGGGATGCTATTCCCTAAAGTCTCATTTAATTTTCTGATAGCCCACTTGCAGAAAGTGAAGCAAGGAACATCTACAGAACATCTGGCCAAATAGGGGCATTATAGGGCAGATACATCCTGCCTGAAAGACCTTAGGACCCTTTAGCCCCAGTCCTGCAATTGGATCTTTATGCCCCTGCAAAGACTCACTAACTCTGACTGGGGTTTCCAACAGACAGTGGAGGGAGGAGACAGAATGGACATTAGATCTGCAGCATCTTTATTTAACGACACTGTAAATGAATACTTTCCGATATTTTTGAACAGAGAGAGTACTTAAGAAGAGAAGAATACATAACACAGCAGTGGCAACTATGGAAAGCCAGACAAATGCAGTGGGCTGAGGAAATAAGATTTGGTCCTCTAAAATTCGGATTAGGTATTGGATGCTTAACAACCTTCTCCCCGCTATCATACATCATTTTCATCAATTTCTATTGGCTTTACTCCTTGGGAATTGAGTGAAGGAGAAATGCCAGACTCGGGTATGGGCTGCATTAAAGGCAGATGTCTCTCTTGCAAAAGTGAATCTTGGGCCAACTCAAAGCGAGTCTCAAAATAATCTACTGATTCCCCCTCTTGTCTTTGTATTAAGAGTTGGTAGTCTCCAAAGCGAATGAGGCATTTATGAGGCAGGTCAACTTTGTTTAAGTAGTCCAGTTCCAGATTGTCTACAATAAGCTTGCTCCTCTTGCTCATGTTCTTTATCTCAAAACCAAGTTCTGAGTTGTTGAGTTGCCTGAAAAACTGCAGGGCAAATTGAACCCGGGAAACACGGGAATCCATTAAATTGTAATGGCAGATGTTAGTATCTCGGCCAAACTTTGCCACCTCATCTGCCCTGAGCTGCTCTCGCTTGAGGAAGTTTAAGTTGCGAAATATCTGCTTTTCTTCTTGGCGAGGATGGTACAAAGTTATATGGAGACAAGTCACTGTCTCTTCAGTTTCCAGCTCTTCCAAGGAGGTCATGATGGTGATCCTTCTCAGTACTACAAGAAAGAATGAAATTGTGGAATTACTGACATGCCCCCCCCCCCCCCACAAACCAACCCCAACCCGCAAAACGTAGAACTGGAATAATTTAAAGAACTTAACATACCTCTGATCAATTAATTTGTACTTATTTTGCAGAGAACCACTGGCAATAAATATGGTCTAGCAGCTAGATTTCAGGATTCAGAGTAATTTTATTCCTAGTTTTGCCACTAATTTATGTGGCTCTAGATGGATCAAAAGCCTCTCTGTGCTTTAGTTTTCCATATGTAAAATGAGGATAAGTACAGAGACAAGCTAAGTAAGATAATACATTTTATTGGACCAACTTCCGTGTAACAGCAAAAGTTTGTCTCTCATGAACAGAAATTAGTCCAATAAAATTACCTCACCCATCTTGTCTCTCTAACCTCGTGAGACTAACATGTCTAAAACACTGCATACAAGTGTTAAAAATATCAAGGAATCTTTGTAAATGTTTACGATTTTTTGCAAAAAACTATGCAAATATGAATTAGTTCTTCCCCTATTACAGGTGTATTACTAAATAGATTCTCCTTTGAAGAAACATTTTGGTGATGCATCATTAGACGCCTAATCACTTGGGCTGTGTCTACACTGCACCCCTTTTCCGGAAAAGGGATGCAGATGAGACAAGTTGGAATTGCAAATGAAGCGGGGGATTTAAATATCCCCCGCTTCATTTGTATAAACATGGCTGCCGCTTTTTTCCGGCTCGGGGCTTTGCCGGAGAAAAGCGCCAGTCTAGACGGGGATCTTTCAGAAAATAAAGTCTTTTCTGAAAGGTCCCTTATTCCTCTTAAAATCCCCCGCTTCATTTGCAATTCTGACTTGTCTCATCTGCATCCCTTTTCCGGAAAAGGGGTGCAGTGTAGACACAGCCTTGTTGTGTAGACTTCAAAGACCCATATTGGAGCTATTATATAGTACTTGTTAATGACTCTGAATATTATATATCACTGTGTATCATTCTTTTGACAAAATAAAATGTGACAAGTAACCTTTACAAGTACAGTTTGCCTGCGATATGGGAAACCCTGGTTCAATTCCCCTCTTCTCCCAAGAAGATAGGGAGAGGATTCGAACAGCTCTCTAACCACTAGAGTTGCTAACTCTTCTGGTGTCTCCAGGAATTATAGATTAATCTTTAATTGAAGGTTAAGTCATGTGCTGAAAGCACCTACCAAATTGGACAACCCTATTAACTACTAAGCTATGGGACATTCTGCTATCAGGTTCCCTCAGTCTCCTGTTTTGAAGATGTTGTACTCCAGCTAATCAATGAGACACTGGACAGGTCCCTTGGGCAGCAGGTTTTGGGGGGGGTGTTTGGATACAGGCTCTAGGATGGGGAAGGGAGTTGGCGTGCATGTCGGGTGCAGGAGGCATAAAAAATGACCAGCACAGCCCTCTGGCAGCAGCTCCTAGGCAAAGGGGTCCAGGGAGTCTCTGTGTACTGATGCCTGAAGGCACCATGCTGCAGCTCCCAGCCAATGGGAGCTGTGGAGTCAGCGCACAGGGTAGGGCAGTACATTCCCCTCCCCCGAGCACTGCAGGGATGTGTAGCTATTTCCAGGAGTGTTGCAGAACAAGGGTGGGCAGGAGGCCTGCCTAGCCCTGCTGTGCTGTCAGTGGCAGCAGCCAGGAGGCCCCAGGCCTTTTTTAAATTGCCCAGGCCCTGGGCAATTGCCCCTTTGACCATCCTCTCCTCCCTCATGCATCCCCCTGTAACCCCCAAGGAGATTGCTTGGATTCCCGGGGCTTTGTCTGCTGGCAGCTCAGGGAGAGGCACTCTGAATTGGCCTTGGCTCCCCCTCCCTACCAGGGCCAGAGTCTGCCCGGCAACCCACAGGGAGTGAGATGCCCCTCCCAGGGGGAAGGAGAGACCATTGTTGAGGGGAGTCTGGAGCCAGCCAGGAAAAGGGGAGGACTGAGTGTGTGGGAGCTAGTAAGCCCCAGGCCTGCATGCAGGGTTCCCCCTGAGAGCTAGCCTCTAGGGACCTGAAGGCAGGATCCCTCAGCTGGGTTTATGTCTCCACTGTTGATTCCCAGTTGTGGAGTTTGCTGGGAGGCTTCCCCAGCCAGGCGGAGTTGGCTCTCCAGCTCCCTGGGTGAGAGAGTCACTGCATGGTCAGCTGGGCTCTAGCAGCAAGTTCAGGGCTGCTGCCTGCTGTGTGGGTCTGGAGGCTGGCCTGGGAGGCTGTAGTTTTGAATTTTGGTGCAGTTGTGTGGTCTGCATCTTGAGCCCTGCACCCCTTCACAGTGAGGGGAAATTCTGGGACCGAAGCAGCCTGGTTCCTGCTTGAAGAGGCCCCCTGTGAGGAGAGGGCAGCCCCCTTGCAGAGACTGAGTCATCTCTCAACCTGAGGCTCATTCATGGAGTGTGTGAGTGCACCAATTTTTAGTTAGTCAGGCAGGGAATTTGTTTGGGGATTTTATTACCTGCAGCCTATTAAACTGTGGAGGGATTTGCTGCCTTCTCCCATTTGTGAGTCCTTTGGGCTGTACTGGACCTAGTCAGCCCCACTGCTAAACCTCTGCAGAGAAGGATTGTGTGGTCAACAGTCATCAAGGGCCCCAACAAAGTACGCGTACCAACGGGACACTAACTTCACAGTTGCAGGGCACCGGTGCCCCTAAAAATAATGTTTTACCCTGTTCTGTTATAATTGTCTCCTGTTTAATATAATTGTGTTTATTATAGTGTATGTGTTTGTGTTATTTTCTGGGAGTCTCCAACTATCTGGCGAATACGTGGGGATTATCCTGGGCTAGAATTTTCCTCCCAAGCTGCCCTGGCAACCCTGCTAGGAAGGAGTGAGGGGGGTGGAGGCACCGCCAAGTACATCAATCAGAAAGAATAAAATTGAGTAGGTGGCGGGATCCAGAAGAACCCAGGCCTATCCATCCGAACCTGAAAGGAGATTGGCTCTTAAAGAAGGTAACCAGGTGGAGAGGGGGCGCTACACCCCATTGGCAGGCTGCCTCTTTCTTTATTAGGGATGTTGGATATAGTGCAACTGAATAGTCGTGTAACCACATGAAATCTTATCAGTTACACAACTATTCAATAGTCCCTGGTGGCGGGGCCGGCAGCCAGTATGCTCCTGGCCCCGCACCCAGAGAGCCCCCTGCCACACTGTGCTGCTGGATTGGAGGCAGCTCCGTGGGGTGGCAGGTGATGTGTGGGGAGCCTGCTTGAAAGCCAGCCCCCTGCGTGTATCGACTCCAGCCTGTCCCCCTCATCCTCCGCACTTCTGCCTCTCCATCAGAGGCAGCAGCGCACGGGGATGACGGGGGGCGGGGGAGGCAGGCAAGATCTGGTGCTCATGGAAAGTCTGCTTAAAGCCAGCTCCTCATGGGCACCAGTTCCCACTGCCCCTCCTTGCTGCCTGTGATATAGAGGTAGCAAGGGGATGTGGGAAATATGTGTTAGGGATGTTAAACATTGGTTAATTGAATAGTTGATTAACCTCATGAATTCGTATCAGTTACTCAAGTATTCTACAGTCCCTGGTGGTGGGACCGGCAGCCAATGTGCTTCAACCCCACTCCCAAGGAGTCACCTGCCACTCCGCACTGCTGCCTCTGTATCAGAGGCAGCAGCGTGGGGTGCCAGGCAGGAGCTGGTCCACAGAGGAAGTTGGTTTAAAACCCAGTTCCCCTCACAGACCAGCTGCCTGTTGCCCTGTGCTGCTGCCTCTGATACAGAGGCAGCAGCGCAGGATGGCAACAGACCCTGTCCAGGAAGGGGGTGGGGGTCTGAGCTCCTGGACATGGTGCCAGCCAGAACTGAGCCAGGCTGCCTGCCTGCATGGCTCCTAATACACTTTAAATGAAAAGCTACAGTTGGCTACACTTCAAATGAAGCCAGGACTAAAAAAATTTCTGGCGGCGCACGGAAGGGTAAAATGCATGTAGTCTATAGCATTAGCCTATAAACTTTTGCTTATTGGTTAATCAGCTACAGTATTACATTGCTAGTGCATGTGGTCAATAAGATGAACCAATAAGCTAAGGCAGTGTTTCTCAACCAGTGGTACAAGTATCCTTAGGGGTACTCGAGAAGTCTGGAGGGGTACGTCAACACAACTGACATTTGAAGAAAACTGAATTTTTGTTTTTAAGTTTTACAGCGTTTTATTATCTTTGTACTTTTTACACCCAAAAATTTCATCGCCCGCCCAACTACAATTAAGTCGTTTAAACAAAAGTGTTGCAACTGTAGAAAAAAAAATGTGTGCGTCTGAAAACTGAAGGTACTGGAGGTACTTTTTTTGGGGGGGGTGGAAGGGGTACTTGATATTTTTTTTTTTTTTAAAAAAGGTTGCGAAATACTGAGCTAAGGCTTATCAGTTAATCATGTAGTGGGCTACCCATTGACATCCCTAGTATTTATCCAGGGTACAACAGTCAAATAGAAGCTCCAACATTAGCTTTTGGAACCACCCACTGACACAAACTTTATCGTTAGAAATCTCACCAAGGAGTAGCTGCTGTATGTAAAATATTACAGATATAAAAAATGAATGTAAAGTGGATGTGAAAATTCCCCTGCTTTCCCCAACAAAAATGGAGTATAGGATTTGCCAACCTGCAGCATGCCAATATCCTGTTTCTAACTGTGGCCAGCACTATTTCACTACGGGTGCATCAATACAGCACCCTATACTCAAAATAAGATATGCAATTTGTGCTACGTGTCTACAAGGTGCCAAATTTCAAAATAACGTGCTATTTTGAGCCATCACTTATCCCTCATGCAACAAGATTTACCGGGGTGACAAAATACCTCACCAGGTATTTCGAAAAATATTTCAAAATAATGGGTGGCTTGTGTAGATGCGGGGTAGCTATTTTGGGATACCAAAATAGCCATGCAGTGTAGACATACCCTAGTTGCTTCAAAGAAAGATGCAGGAAAAACTGCAGTTATGAAAGTCTGTCCAGAAGGGGAAAAAATCTTCCTAAACCCATTAGTAATCAGCTGCCGCAGGTGGAGAGGAATATCCCTTTTAAAATTTCTTGGGTTTTTTTAATCCATTCTGTAGTGTTTTTGTCCACATAAATATCCTATTTAGCTCTTGACCACATATCTTGAATACCACAGGCTAATTGTGCATTGTACGAAACAATATTTCCTTGTGTATCCAAGCTGTCACTTAACTGATAGAATATAAATTTAACTATGAGGTGTATTATTAATGCTATTCACTGCATCTGAGTCATTAAAAAGCAGTTTACAGTTCAGTCTATTGTGTTTTATTGCTACATGAAGTATCATTATGACATGGACTCTGACATACGATTGCCTTTCCAAGGATAAGATTGCACAACTGTAATCTATAAAGACATAAAGAATCAATTACTGGTACTATGAAACTTTTCTGTGATGCCAGTATATACAGAGATCATACAAATTACAAGACGTGTACAATTATTTTCCTTCCTTGATGGATATCCAAAACAGGGCACAATGCTTTTACTTCCAAAGCAATAGCTCAGGCACAGAACCCTTCCCATTTCAGTGTTAGAAAAATCTGGCCGGGGAAATAACATTAGCAACTCATGTTTAAGTAAAGTTATGTGAATATGGCTTTCCTAGCTGATGTAAGCAAAGCCTAAATGTTAAGGAACAAATTAATTTCAAGTAGAATAAGATGTTTAGGCAGTTTGTAACTCGCTTGTAAATAATTCTACTTTTCCCCAGTTCATCTTAAACTTATGTAGTTGATTGTGGGTAAAATTATAAATAAACTACCAGTAGCCAATTATAGTTCTTTCTAAAGTGATCTGATTTGATGAGAAGTGCTGAACTAACAGCCCAGGAGAGAAATCCCTTCTGTATATTCATAAAACTGGTACTGCTTAGGCAGTAGCAGTACCATTCTTATCCCTCAGCTTGCTCTGGTTGGTTGGGACCATCTGAGTGTGGAGAGAGTACCCATTCAGTTCTTAGTTCAGAGGGTTTTTTGTGATTTAATGGGGCATTAAATCATTTTATAAAGGCGTCAAACTAGCCTACGGAATTTAACAACTTTCGGTCATGCCCGACCCTGGAACAGATCTGAACCTGTAATTTTCAAGTGGAAAACTCTGTATTTCATTAGTCTACGCCTAAATCAGCCTGAAGTTCATCGATACAGGTTGAACCTCTCTAATCCGGCACTCTTGGGACCTAACCAGTGCTGAACCAGAGAATTTGCCAAACCACGGGAGGTCAATATTCTCTAGCAGCACTACCAACACTTCCACTGCTTACTGGGCTCTTAGAAAATGTTTAGGGGCAAATTAGAGTTAAATAATAGACAAAAAACTGAGTTAGAACTGATGGCTGTAAACAAGCTTTTTGAGACTGTAGGAAACCTGTCCACACCCATGATAAGTGGACAGCTGGCTAACTAAAATTGTGCAGAACATGGATGTTGCCAGACCAAACAGTGCAGACGAGAGGGGTTCAACCTGTAACGCTAACTGTCTTTTGGTTATCAGAGCTGGGAGCATATTCAGAAAAATTTGCAGGATGTTGTGAATGTGACATACCAATATAGGCCATGTGCATTGTTCAAAATGATGCATGTGAACTTTTATAAGTGATCACTTCTGTTAAAGGGCGAAGGAAGAATAAGGGGATGTCAGAAAGCTCTCTCCGACAGAGAAGGCAGTTCCTAAGTATTAAGTGGACATCATGAAGATCAGACAGGGCTGAAATGGAAGTAAAATCTTTTCCACAAGTGCCACTGTACTGGGTATTATGATATGGATGTTGAATTTTGCATGGAAGTACACACTTATCTAAACTCTTCCCAGTTGAGGCCAAGTTCCGATGGAAGCCAAAAGCCCCCAGCCTTTAAAGGGAGGACTACATTGCATTAGGATTACAGTGTTGAACCTTGGATATCATTTTCACTTTTGGAATGTGCATACTTGTTTCACTTCCCCTCACATGCCTCACAAAAATCCGTCAGCAAAAAATCCATACAGTTTACTTAGGGCACTGACAACATCACCATACATGGAAACTTATGTGGATCTTTTGCTGCCCATACACCCATCCTAGAAAAGAAAATTTCTAGGAACAAATGTTCCAACCAGTTTCACTGTAGACTTCCAAACACAACACAGTTTAATACCCTGAAAAAATCTGCATAAACTTGTATTTAAAATTTTATTTTGGTTTAACAGTATATTTGGGTTAATTTTATACATTGTGTTACGTTATGTTAAATGGAAACAGTGGTTGTTAACATTTGTACTTCTAAACAGTTAACAAAAGTGTAATTGGTATCACAAGAAAGTTAACTCTAAAAAGCTTGTTACTAACTCTTTTGCTCAAACCCAGGGTTCAGCAAAAGAGAGCAATACCTCATGGAAAGCTGGTTTAAAAAAAAATTAAGTTGCAGAGAACTACATATTCTCTGTTAGTATCCGTAATAATTTGGATCAGTGATACTGCATCCTAAATAAGGCATATGTTGTTCTAAACAAAATTGTTCAGTGTCTGGATACCAATACTACATCCTGACCCAGCAATATTTGATAAATTGGTTACCGTCCATACAGTAGATTATCTGGAAGACACATCGATAAGAAACAATTGGATCTACATTACCTCCTGGTGTATCACAGAGCACTGCTATCAATGGATCAGAAAAGCTAGCTGTTCCTGTTTCCTGTCCAGCAAAGCTTATCCCAGAGGATGAAAACCAGCAGTAAAGCCTGTAACATAAATGGACATTACAAGACAACTATATATTAGGCCTCCATTTGTAATGTCACTACACCAAATGTCTGTTTTACTTCTCATATACATAGCACTGTGGGATGCTATATAAAGGTACCTATCCCAGTACAGATATTTCAAAACACTTTGCTCATTACTAATAATGACATGGATGGCAATTGCAACAGCCATAATAGGAGTGTATTTTTATCTCCAGTACCACAAGGGCTAAAACACACTACCAACTTGGAAAACTGATGTTGTGAATACCAGGACTTTAACAGGGTTTACAAAAAGAACTAGATAAATTCATGGAGGTTAAATCCATCATACTTATTAGCCAGATAGGAATGGTGTCCCTAGCCTCTGTTTGTGAGGGCTGGAAATGGATGACAGCAGAGGAATCACTTGATTATCTGTTTCTGTTCACTCCTGCTGGAGCATCTGGCATTGGCCAGTGTTGGAAGACAGGATACTGGCTAGATAGACTTTTGGTCTGACCTAGTCTATCCTTCTTATGTAAAATAAATTTTATAAGATTGTCATATGTATGTGTAGACTAAGGGACAGCTGGGATGTGAATGTGTGAACAGTAAAGTAAGGTGTCCTCATAATAATGGTCAGCCATCTGGGTCACCTTCAGTCCATGCATAATGCTTTTTTGGATGCTTGGTAAACATCCTCCTCATAAAAAACAAATTGGGGGGAGGGGATTTAGTTAGATCAGAGTCTAAGATAAGGCACAGGCTTGGTTTGAGGCCTAGCCAAACATGGTCAAGACTTTGCTAATATAAAGCAAAATTAAGCTGTGAGCAAGAGACTGTCTGCTCACAGAACTTAGCATGGTGGTGTAGAAACACTAATTGGTACTAGGCACAGGCTGTACACACATTCTAGAGGGATGTTTCTGATTAAGAAACATCTTAGTATCACCACACTCCTCACAGACAATAGAGACATATCAACCCAGGTTCAGGACAGGGTCTAAAATGACAGCATGATGGATAGACATGTTTTGATCAAACCACCAGGTATAAAGTAATGGGTGGTATCTAGGTAGCGTGAGAGAATGGCAACCTGATAGTGATGTGTAAATGTTTGTTCCTCTATATAAGGCTTGGTCTTGGAGGGGCTGTCTTTGTCCGGACAAGGGGGCAGCAGAATAGTCCACTGAGTCCATTGTCAGGGGGTACATACCTGTAGTACTTCAGTACAGTCTGCTAAAAACTATTAGGCTACGTCTACACTGGCCCCTTTTCTGGAAGGGGCATGTTAATTTCAGCTATCGTAGTAGGGAAATCCGCGGGGGAATAAGAGCCTCCGGAAAAGGGCGCTTTTTCCGGAGGATCAGGGCCAGTGTAGATGCTCTTTTCTGGCTTTTTTAAAAGCCGGAAAAAAGCGGCGGACATTTTTATTTAAATGCCGCGGGGGATATTTAAATCCCCCGCGGATTTCCCTACTACGATAGCTGAAATTAACATGCCCCTTCCGGAAAAGGGGCCAGTGTAGACGAGCCCTTACCGTATTTCTTTTGACAATAAGCCTAGCTGATGCCTTCAATCCTTATTTGATTTTGTGACCTTTTGGGGCTCTTTCAGAGTCTGCTGTACTGTCTGCACAGAGCCAATAGAGGCTAAAATAAATGTTTGCATGCTCATTTTATAAATACTTTCTTCACCATAAACACTGTAAATTTGGATTCTATATGATGGGGAAGCACACACATGCAGCCAAATGGTGATCATCACTGGACAGAGCAAGATAGCTGTCAGGACCAGGGATGTTAAAATGTGTTTAAACACGCTGAAAAGTTCAGTGGTTCCATGCGCGGGGAGGGGGGAGACAGGCTTTCAAGCCGGCTTCCTGCATATATTGGGAACCTGCATGTAACCATGTGCACAATTACACTTTAACATCCCTAGTCAGGACTCCACCATCACAAATATCGGCTCTCAAAGCCAGATTACAAATGTAAAAATACTAATCATACAACTGCTTTGAAAGCAATTCTGATAAAACTTAGAAAAGGAACAAACTTGTTTAAATTAGGGATGTTAAATTTTGATTAATCAGCTAATCGATATTTCATTGACTACTTGATTAGTCAATAAGCGGGGAGGGGCATGTCAAAGGCAGAGGCACAGCAGTTAGGATCCCACTGTGCCTCTGCTTCCCCTGTCCGTCCTCCCCTTTGCACCACGGAGACAGTGCTGGGGGGAACCAGCTTTTAAGCACTGGCTCCTGCTGCTCCCCCCCCCCTTCTTGCCTCTGATATAGAGGCAGCAAGGGATGGGGAAATGCGAGTAGTCAACTATTTCACTACTCTTATATCCTTCCTCTAAACCATCATGTCTATTTCCTCCCTCCTTTCCCCCCCGCCCCTTTGCAATATGCCAATTCCCAATAGAGGCTACAATACATGCATGCTTGCATGCTCCTTTTATAAATGATTTCCTCAGCATAAACACTGTAAATTCAGATTCTATATGACACATCTTCAGATGAGTGTAGACGGATGGCCGCATTCCATCCTCAAATGCACCCTTGTTACTCATTGACTAGAAGGGAATTTCTAGCTGAGCTCTCAGGAGCAGAATTTCCCCTAATGCCTGGAAACTGATACTAAATAAAATACTTTTCCCTAACAGATCTTGCTCTGCTTATTCCTTCCTCGCTTTTTTGTGAAGGGTAAATTTACTGAACGGTGCCAGTGCAGCAAGCTCTTACAGACACGGCCAAGATGCTGACAGATCAAGGCTTGATCCACCTCCTCCTATGGAAGACAATGGCACAACTCCCACTGCCTCCACCCACTGCAGCGAGGGGCTGTAGAACTTTCTCACCCATTACCAAGACAGTTTCCCCAATTATCACCTGTAATACCATTAACTCACAAACATCCCACTCTCCCTACCTTTAATATCAGCAATTCACAGACACTTACCTTCCTTCCTCCCCCTTCCACCCCCCCGCATCCCCCTTCTGTTCTGCGATGTGATTTGTCCTTTTCATATTTGTTCATTTTTTTTAATTGTATCCTTTGGTATATATGGTTGTGACTACTTTCTTCCACTATTTGATCTGAGGAAGTGGATCTGGCCCACGAAAGCTCATCATCTAATAAACCATCTTGTTAGTCTTTAAAGTGCTACATTGTCCTGCATTTTGCTTCAGGGGCTGTAGAGGTACCCCTCCAACACTGCACACCCAGATGGGTCGACATGGATCTTTTGCAGGAGGAGGCATCTCCCACCCCACCCCAAAAAAGGGGGAGCTACAATAACTTGATGGCAGCAGAGAGATGCACAGACCCACGCAAATCTCTAGGAAGATGCCCCTCGCGGGCAGTGGCAATAGCAGTGAAAAGGTGCTCTGGCCCTGGCTCTTTGCTAGCGGGAAGTTCCTCTCTCTCCCTGCCGCTGGGAAAGCCCCCAGACGCTTGGGGGCCAGCCAGCTGTCGCTCACTGCGCAGCCAAAGGGAAACACGCCGACGTCTAGCTGTGCGGCTTGCGCTGTTTTGAACCAGCAGCTGCGCCACGCCTGACCCCCCCCTTCTCCCCAGCCCAGCGCCTACCGCTGGCAGCGAAACTCCCGCCCGAGCAGCGGAAACTCAGCGCCCCTTGCGCCCTCAAATCAGCCCATCCCCACTGATCCCCCGCGACACACACACTCCAGTCCTACTCGGTCCCTGCGTCCCCTGCCCACGGAACCCTCAGCCAGCTGTGCGCCCTCACCTCTCCAAGGCATCCAGCCAGCCGCGGGGCGAGAGCCAAGCGCGGATCGGGGCGGCAGGAGGCGCTCAAGGAGCCTGTCCCGCGCCTTGAGCTTTCTCCTCTCTGGGCTCGGCGTAAGCGCCGGAGCTTTTTAGTGCGGGGCAGCCGGAGGGCAGGATTTCCCCAGTCCCTGCCCACCCTTTGCCGGCTGTGGCGGGAGGGGAGCAGCTGCGCGCTGGGACTTGTAGTTCGCAGCCCTGGAGTCGCTGCTGCAGCGTTTCCTGGAGGGTGGTCACCAAAACAAACCCTCCTGCACCGGCTGCTGCTCTTCGGCCGTCATCAGAAATCATCGAGTAAGTAAAGGGAGGCCAGGAGCTTACAAAAAACAAGGCTGCTGGATGGTGTAACCCTCTGAGCGTTGGGATCAACGCCTGCTGATTGCTAGAGCTTCCCTAGTCTAGTGTTTTAAGTTTGTGTATTTAGCATTTAACTTTGTGTGTGTGTGTGACCAAATCTACCGTTTGATTTGTCAACTCGTACAGTCGGTCTTTTTTCCTGGGCTACCGTAGTGGGCTTTACACGTAGCAACAGAGCTGCGAAACATTTTAATAGAATAGAAAAGAAAAAGAGATTTGGAAAAAAAACCAGAAATGGTCAGGGGAGGGGGAAGACTCAAGGCAGAAATAGTGTCTGAGACTGCCTTTTAAAAAGTTAGATTAATTCCCACATTGACTGGCAATGTCCATGTAATCATCATATTAATTCAAACTGATTTCTCTTGTAGAGGGTGCCAATGAACGTGACAGTGATTAAAGTCAAAGAAGGAAGTGTGGAGAACCTCTTGGAGGGCACTAGAACAATATTTTGCAATAGTTTGAGTTATAGTCTGCAGATTGTTTCTATCTGGGTTCTTGTACTGGATCTGTGCAAGGCAGCATTTATATATGTGTATCACTACAAATTATTTGCAATCTACCAGTGTAAGAAAAACGTTTTCTTAAAATTACCATAGCCCTCTTTCTCTGCCATGGACGATTTATTTTGAGCAAAATCTTATTTTGCTCCCACACAGCCCTCTCCAAAGTTAGTTGTATTATAAGAGAGGTTAGTGTAAGCAGCTCTCTGTAGCCTATTCTAAACATTTTAGTTACAAACATTTGTAAAAATGAGCAGTCCTATGGCACCTTAGAAACCAACAAAGATATAGGATTGTGAACTTTCGTGAGTAAAATCTAGGCGGCAAAACAGGCTGAGTCAAATGGTTAGTTAATTGATTTTGAATGTCATTCTACATTGAAAAACACTTCACTAGTTCTCAAGTGTATTTTCCCCGGTTATTAACCTTCCTTCTCTCCCTCCCCCAGTGTGTTTCTAAATAAAAAAAATCGATCTCCCCATAATATGATATGCACAATAAATGTCAGTGTTACTAAGCAATACAGTTATGATCTAAAATAGGACGTAAAGTGGGCAGGTTAGATCAAATGAATTGCCCAACTAAATTGACCAAAAGACCTGTACATTTAGCAGTGCAGTGTGAAACAGGACACTATTGTCATAGGTAGCTGCTGCATACAGTTGTTCACTGAGGAGAAGGAATTATTTAAAAAATATGGTTAAGATCATGAACCCATTGTGACAGTGGCCCCCATATTCTTCACTGTGATATCATTATGATACGATTATAGTATAATAATGCATTTTATGCAAAATAGGTCATGTAAGATGTACTCGCACTGCCCCCCTTGCTGCCTCTGTATCAGAGGCAGCGAGAAGGCCCGGCGGAGTCGGGATCTGGTGCCTGTGGGGAGCTAGATTTTAAGTTAGCTCCCCATGAGCACCAGATCCCACGGAGCTACCTGCCCCCCCACCAACATGGGGGAGCAGGTGGGAGCTATACGCATGTGGAGCTGGCTTTTAAGGAGCCACCTGCCCTCCCCCCATTAGGAATGTAAGTGACTAGTCAGCTATCCGATAAGCAAAAGCTTATTGGATAGTCGACACACTCAGCAATTAGTCGCTCACTTTCCCTTGCTGCCTCTATCACAAAGAGGCAGCAAGTGGGGGGAAGAGGACAAGGTGCTGGAAGGAGCCGGCTTAAAAGCCAATTCGCCTCCAGCTCTAGTTCCATGGGATGGAGCAGGAGCGCAGCCGCAGCCGCAGCCGCCTTTGAAATATACAAGAGACCTTCTGGGGCTGTTGTACATTTCAAAGAGGAAGCACCAGAAGGAGTGTGGGGCCAGCCCTGGGCTCCACGCACTGTTTCAATCTTTGAACATTTCAATCTTTGTACATTTCAAAGGCAGAACATGGAAGTTCTTATCGACTAATCGAATAGTTGATGGAAATCCCATAAATTATTTGATGAGTTAATTAATCAAAATTTAACATCCCTATTCCCCATCAGAAGTAGCAGCACGGTGGGGGTGACGGGAGGTTGCTGCGGAGCATCTTCTGTCTGCGGTGGGCACAGGCCCCTGTGGACAGAAGCTGCTCTGTGGTTATGCCAACACAATTTCTATCCAGAGGAAGCTCAGACCCTCTGCAGACAGGGGCTGCTGCCACCTCATGCTGCTGCTTCTGTATCAAAGATAGCAATGCAGGGTAGCAGGGGGCTCCGTGGTAGTGGGACCAGTCAAATATCAAATAGTCATGTAACTGCTAAAATTTTGATGCAGTTACACTATTATCCAATTAACCAGACATCTAACATAGCTAATTGGAAAAGTTCTAACTTCCTGAACATGATTTTCCTATTTGCATATCATTTTTTAATTTGAAGTTATCAATATTGACTATGTATCTGAATTTCAAATGTAGTTATATGACCCACTGCACAGCATGTGGGGAAGGAGCTATTCAGTGTATTCATTAGGGCAAACTGTAGGTCTTAGGAGAAGCTTATCCATGACGTGGTGAACATTCCTGTAAGTAAAGGCTGCTATGATACAGCAAGGTATGGCAGGGTATGTAACATGACTCTGGATTCCATTTTAGGATATCAGCATTTTCCACAAACTGAGTGTGAGACAAAAGGGTTCCCGCCCTATGCTAAAGCTGTATAAGGCAGGAAGTGACATCTGTGGTTCTTTACTCCTCACACAACTGGAAATACAGGAGGAACAAAGACTGAATGGGGGAAGTGATGGGCCCTGGCTAAAGGGATTTCTGTCCTGTGTGTGAAAGACGGAAGGATTCCAAATTGTAGAGTGCTGCTGGTCCCTTAAGAATTTACAAACCTGCTTTTACCATCTCTCCAGGTGAGAAACTGCTCATTCATATCTAACCTATTCACCAAGATAAACTTAGTTTGTGTGTGTGTTTATTTATTAGCTAATCTGCTTTGAACTGTCTGCAGCTACTTATAATCACTTAACTATATAGTTAATACATTTATTATATTTTAACCTAAACCATTTCCGTTTGCGGTGAAGTGCTTGGGAATACTACCTGAGGAGGCTGTTGCATTTCCTCTCCAAACTGAGGGAGAGAGACCCTGGATCAGTGGTGGCCCATCAATACAGGCGAACTAGGTGGTTGCCACGTAGGGCGCCAAGATAAACAGCAGTTGAGGGCTTTGGAGGCAGGGTGCCGATCGCGCGTTTTGCTTAGGGCGCCAGTTGCCAGCAGCTCATCTAGGGCCACTCCTGCCCTGGATAATATACTGGTTGGGGTTTAGACCAGGGTAGGATGACTCATCTCTGAGGTTGTAGCCTGGGAAGCTGGTGGTTATTTTGGCTGTAGCTGCTCTATTGCTGGTTCACATGATGGCTCCTGCACATCACTTCAGCTGGATGGGTCCCTACCTCTGTGAATGCTGGTAGGAGTGTAAGACCCAGAGTGGGTCTGCTGTTTGTCACAGCAGCACAGTGTGGGAGGGAGATCAGGCTGGTGGGTCAGAGGGCTCATTGGTACCGCAGTTCCAGGGGTCATCCCAGATTTGGAACCCATCACACCCATAAACGTTAGTAAATTCTAAAATTCTATTTCCACAACAATCATTGCATGCCCTCTTTCAGGTGTGAAACTTTTTGTATTGCTCATGATGATTGTGACGGGGCACATGCCCTGCACTGGCCCTTTAAAGGCAAAACCCAGGCCCTAAGCAGAGGCTGAAAGCAAAGACCCAGCTGAGACAACTAAGGTTAATGAGGCCTCAGCGGGATCTATATAAAGAAGATCAGGCTGCTGCTTAGGGGGAGGGCAGTAAGGAGTTGGTAGCTAAGGAGATGCCCAGGAGCTAGAGTAGCACAGGGACTGCAGGGCTAGGGGGTGGGGATTGGTACTGAGATTTTTCTTCATGAGGTGTTCTGTTATAGCCCTTCTAGAATGTGCTATTGGCCTATGCTTAATACCTCTTAGGTATGAGTGTTTCTCATAATTTTGCAAGAACTGGGCTGATATTACAAAACAAGGCCTTCTTCTTGCTCACAGCCTAACTTTGCTTTATGTTAGCAAAATCTTGTCCATTGCTATATGGGTCTCAGGTCTCACACCAGGCCTGTGATGCATGGGCTTATGTTTCAGGTCCTCATCTTACTACAGTAGCAAGCATTTCTACTGAAATCCTGGTAACCATCAAAGTTGGCCTCTGAACCTAAGATCTGTATAGAGTCTTGTCCAGTTTTGTTTATATGTGTTTGTAGGATTGTCTCCAATTTCTCCCTCAAGGACTGCCTTTGTTCATAATTCAGAAGGTCGAACTTGTTATTTTACCATAACTGACAAGCATTTTGGCTGTCTGCTGGGGGCACTGAATTTTTCAGTTGTGCCTTTTTTGTTAATAGCTTGCTTCGAAGACAGACAAAATTAGACTGAAACACAACAGCTATAGGAAGAGGAGGGTAGGTGGATACTAAGACCCTGTGGTGCCCATACTCAGCTGTGTATTCAGCGTATGGATAAGGATGGCCCTCCATGATGCCAACTGACAGCATAATAATAAAACTATTTATACCAGTACATATTAGAATCATAGGGGCTAACATGATATATAGAATATGTAAATATTACCTTAATGTGATCTAAACACAGAAAAGGGATACTCTTTTCAGTTTTTAGCTTACACAAATATCTGTTTGTGTAAGCTAAAAACTGAAAAGAGTATGTCATTATGGTTACGTCTAGACTGGCATGATTTTCCGCAAATGCTTTTAACAGAAAAGTTTTCCGTTAAAAGCATTTGCGGAAAAGAGCATCTAGATTGGCATGGACGCTTTTCCGCAAAAGCACTAGACTGGAAAAACTTGAAAGTAGGAATAAGAGATCTTCTGGAAAAGGGCTTTATTCCGGAGGATCGCGCCAGTCTAGATGCTTTTTTTCCGGCTTTTCCCCAAGCCGGAAAAAAAGCGGCGGACATGTTTATTTAAATCCGCGGGGGATATTTAAATCCGCGGGGGATTTCCCTATGCTGACTTACCTGATTTGCATCCCTTTTCCGGAATTTGTGGCCAGTCTAGACGTAGCCCCTATGTGTATCTTTTATCAATCACACCATGCTCAGACCTTCACATTAGGTTTCCTCCAAAGTGCTTTCACTTCACTGAGCTCCAAACAAGATCCAGGTGTTTTGTCATCCTTTAGAATTCAATCTGTGAGCCAAAGACCAAGCCCACTTTTCTCATGCTCAGGTCATCTTCAGCTGAGCACCTAATGATGTATTCTGGTCACTGGCCCACATGCCCAGTGTTGAATCCCTAAAGTCAAAAGTATTTAGAGCTTGAGTTTTCTTTGGTGACACTCCACTATTACTTTTCCAATCTCTTGGCTGCAGAGAAATGCTCCATCATAGGGTGGTTACAATTACATTTTCCTTGATGTAATCTTGTATTATAATTTTCTCTGTACAGAATGATTCTCCCATGCTCTTGGACATTTATATTATTAAAGATTCTACTTGTTAGGGAAACATTTAGGTTTATTTTTGTGTGCTTTGTTTTGGTTTTCCATCTACAGCTTATTTGCCAAAAGCAAATAAAATAACTTTTTAAGTTTTCAAAAACACATGCTGAATCTGATCGAATTTTCTGGTTGGCAACTGAAGTTCAATTGAAAAGGAATATTTTATTTTGAGTCCTGATGCCAGGGACGGCCGTAGGCTTTATGGGGCCCTATGCAGTACTATTAAACTGGTATCCCTAGGCCCAACGGCAGCCCGGAAAGGGTGGTGATGAATTTTTAGAGATGCGATTTTATAATTTTCAGTAACACACTAAGGACACATTTTTAAAAACAAAATTTAAACTCAGGTCTTGCAGATTAAAAAAGTAAATTCAGAAACTGACATTATATACTTGGATTGCCAAGTGCCTGTTAAATGGTTTCATTAGCATTTGAATGGCTCTTTCACAGATTCAATATTCTGCTAATAGAGTCAGCATTTTTAAGTTAACTAGATCAGTGTTTCTCAACCAATGGTACAAGTACCCTTAAGGGTACTCGAGAGAAGTCTGGGGGGGTACATCAATGCAACTGAAATTTGGAGAAAACTGAATTTTTGTTTTAAGTTTTTTATAGCTTTATTGTTTTTGTACTTTTTACACCCAAAAATTTCATCGCCCGCCTGGCTATGATTACGTTGTTTAAACAAATGTGTTGCAATGGTAGAAAAACATTTTGTGTGCCTAACAACTGTAGGTACTGGGGGTACTTAATAAAAAAAAAGGTTGAGAAACACTGATTTAGATCCTTTCTGGAAGAAGCAGAGCCACAGAACAGCAATAGGAAGAGGAGGGTGGGTGGACATTAAGCCCCTGTGGTGCCCCAGTTTTTCAGGTACCCTACACAGCTGTGTATTCTGTATGTAGGTAAGGATGGCCCTGCCTGATGCCAACTTACTTCGTAATAATAAAAGTTCACATTTATAAAATCTTTCATCCAATGGTTTCCAGGTTCCTTACAACTATGAGTAAAGAAAGATTCATTTCAGATACAGTAACGGAGATACAGAGAAGTAAGTTACTTTCACAAGATCCCACAGTGAATGAGCCAGGTCTTTTAAATCCTAGCCTTCAATACTAGACAGCCTTGCATCTCCAATACTGTGTTTGTGATGTATGACATAAGTGAGCCAAATTGTGTAATATATACTTATTGTAATATTCCCGTTAAAATCAATGAGTGTTATGCCTGTGTAAATTTTGTAGGATTTGACTCCATATGTATAAATACTACAATAGTATAAAACATATACTTAGATTAAAATCAACAAATTCTACACCCCATATGGATGAATAATACAGTATATCACTTCCTTATGTATTTGAAAGTGCATAATTGCTTTAGGTGTGTTTGGCTAGATATTCTGGTTATGCTCTTTTTAAAAGGATTCTTATGTGATATAACTATTTGCTGTAAACGATTTGGGGTTTTGTTTTAAGTCTTCAGAGAGAATTGTAGATGTTGCTATTGCTTTTAATGCAATAACCTTGAAATGGTATACCAGAAACAAAGTGAGAAGTGATTTTCCTTCGGTCATACATTTCCCAGAAAGCCTTTTAGTGCAACAATCTTGTATGGGCGTGTTCTTGTTTCAAAAAGTACTTTGTTACAGACTAACGCTGAGGCTGCTATGGTTGGGAAAATCCACAATTGTGCAACTTTTATGCATGCTTTTATTGTCTGTGTTGTTCTTCATGTCTCTGTCTTCCCCTCATTTCCTGGAACTTAACTAACTTGTAAGAACTCTGTGGTATTGGCTGTTGCTAATAATAAGGAATGATCATCTTCCTGAATCTGATCACATGATTTCAGTAAGGCACTGGTATCTATAAAGTCAGGTGAGTACCAGCCTGATAACCTGTTTTATCTTACCATCTGTCATGTTTTATTATTTGATAAGCATTTGGGTGTAGGCGGATTTTTTTTAAGGTCAATGCAATTCATTTAAGGTTAAGGAAACTTTATTGACCAGGTTGTGGTTAATAAAGTTACTCCTGATTTATCCTGCAGGGGCTCTTGTGCATTTCAAAGATTGAAATGCCATGAGGAACCCGGGGCTAGAGTCCAGTATGTTCATGTTTTTAGGATAGTATCTTTGGCATTTACTGCAATAATACAGTTGCTTGGCATCTTAGAGTGCATTTCTTTCCCACATTAACTTTGCTATTGGATCTCTGTAACTTCAGTCTTTCCTTAGCTAAAAATAATGCTGAATGGCAAAATTTTGGAAAGTTAAACAGTTAGCTTAGTGGATAAAGTACATGACTGGGAGTCAAATGATCTGTGATCAGCTTGGCCACTGACCAGCTGTGTGCTGGAC